CACTCATCCATCTACCCCACCACACATCTCTTTGGAGTCAGGGTGGTAGATTGGAAGGAACATAAAGAACTTTAAAGTTCTTTACCTCTGAGTTTGAATCTTCTTCTCCTTCTCTAGTTTTTTCTTCTTCTCCTCCTTCTTCTTCTTCTTATTATTATTTATTTGTGTAGCTGTTTACCTCCCTGAAAATCTATTTCCTAATATGAGGATTTGATTAAAAAATATCAATATCTTGGGGCACCTGGGTGGCTCAGTCAGTTAAGTGTCTGACTCTCAGCTCAGGTCTTGATCTCAGGATCTTGAGTTCAAGCCCTTCATTGGGCTTCACACTGGGCATGGAGCTACAAGAAAGAAAGAAAGTCAAAAAGAGAAAGAGAAAGAAAGAAAGAAAGAAAGAAAGAAAGAAAGAAAGAAAGAAAGAAAGAAAGAAAGAGAGAAAGAGAGAAAGAGAGAAAGAAAGCAAAAGAAAGAAAGAAGAAAAAGAAAGAGAAAGAAAAAGAAAGAGAAAGAAAGAGAGAAAGAAGAAAGAAAGAAAGAAAAAAAGAAAGAAAGAAAGAAAGAAAGAAAGAAAGAAAGAAAGAAAGAAAGAAAGAGAAAATATATTTAGGGGTGGCTGGGTGGCTCAGTCAGTTAAGTGCTTGCCTTCAGGTCAGGTCATGATCCTGGAGTCCTGGGATCCAGCCCCACACTGGGCTCTCTGCTCAGCAGGGAATCAGCTTCTCCCTCTGTCTCCCCCCCCACTCGTTCTCTCTCTCTCTCACTCTCTCAAATAAAATAAAATCTTAAAAAAAAAAGAAAAGAAAAGAAATATCTTTAGTACAGGATTTAATGTCTAAAATATAGTAGGCATGTATGACCTTGCTTTTGCTTTCGACTAGATTATAAAAATAGAACTATAATATTGTAACTATTTGTTTATTTAGTATCTGGCACACATTAGACATTGAGTAATTTTTAGTTTATAATTTTGGTGCAGTGGTAATAAAATTCTCCAGAGTGGATTTTTATTTAAAAAAAAATCTTCTGGAGACTTAAGATAGCAAACCCTGTGTTATAATTTGTGGACACAAAGATGAATAAGCAACTATCCTTCTTAGGGGACCTTAAGTTCAAGAGGAAACACAAAATAAACATGATAAATTGGGTTTGTTACTAAAAGTGAGCATAGTGGCAATATAGTAAAAGAAAAGATTATGCTAGTCTTAGAGGTTAGTGAAGATCTGGGTCACGTAAACTGGGTTTTAAAGAATGAGGAGGAGCTTGCCAGGCAGATGGCGAGGCAAAGGAAAAGAAAAACACACAGAGGTAAAGAGGGACATTATCTGGAGAGATGCTGAGTGTTCAGGTATGATTCAGATATGAAAAATGTGTATGTGATAAATTTGGAAAGGATAAAAAAAAAGGCTTCGTACATCAGGCTAAGAAGTTGGAATATATGGTGTAGAATTAAGGAGGCTTAGAATTTTTTTTAAGTGCTAGAGTCAAATGACTGAATATGTGTTATAATACAGTAATGGCAGTGTGGAAGACAGTTGAGTAGGAAGACTGGAAAAGTGGGAACCAGTTAGAGAAAAGAAAACAAAATGATGGTTTGGAATAACTGACATGGAAGAATCTTTACCCTAAGGCCCAACTCAAGGAATTCAACTAGATATTATTTGGACTTTTCAGTTTTGAGTTTCTATTTCATATTTTTTTTTCCATTTTTATGAGTAGACACTTTTCAAGGAGGATACGAATAATAAAATGACTTACAAATGGTATGTGGTACCCTTTTGAGTATTAGAGTAGATGTGAAAATAGGGCCAACAGAGAGAAACAGAGAGAAGGTCATGTGAAGACAAAGGACATCAGAGTGATGCATCTACAAGCCAAGGAATGCCAAGATTGCCAGCATCCACCAGAAGCTAAGATGAGGCACAAAAATATCCTAGCCTAGAGCCTTTAAGAAAACATTTTGCTCTTCTAGCATCCAGAACTATTGTTCAGAGAAAATAAATGTATGTTGTTTAAGAAAAAAAGAAATAAAGAAAAAAGAAAGAAAATAAGTCCAACATCTTCCAAGGGGAGCTTGGCTTCTCCTTAACCTGAAGGTCTCTCTCCTCAGGCAGCTACATCCACATAGATATGTACAGAAAATCTGTCACTGACCAAGTTAAAGCCTAGGCAAATCCAACTGTAAGCTTGTCAAACTTATGCGCCTATGAGTATTTGGAGTGTGGGGTCCCAGTGGTCAGGACTGCAGGGAGAGACTGTTCTATGGGTTGTCCTATGGGGTGCACATAAGTGATACAAAGCTGTCCAGAACAGATGTAACCAAATCCTGGTAGGCTGAGTTGTCGCTTTGAAGAGGCAAGGTTTTCTACTATGCTCCTGGGAGACCAGAGTTCTTTTGGCCAACATGAGGTTGTGGAGTAAAGGTGGGTGGAGGGAGAGAGGACAGTGGCAACAGCAGCCTAGAGGTAGCCTCCCACTCTTACTTCAACTCAAGAAGATCCAAGTTTGTTTGTTTTTTTTTCTGTTTTCTATAAATTTCACTTTAGATTTCATTTGAATAAAGTGTTCTATTTTGTTAAATATTTTATATTTTTAAGTAATCTTACACCCAATATGGGGCTTGAACTCACAACACTGAGGTCAAGAGTTGTACACTCTATCGACTGAACCAGCCAGGTGCCCAAAAAGTGTTCTAATTTAAAACCAATTTGAAAAACACTGGACTAGATATATAAGGCAAATCCAGATGCATGGGAAAGAGATAAACCCTAAATACTAACGACAGACAAAATGTTGAAGGCAGTTGTTGGAATCCAAACCTGAATGAATTCCCTGAAACATCAGAGCCTCAGATGCAGGGGGATAAGCTAGTGCAGACACTACTAAATTCTAGAGGGGGCCTTCAGGAATTATCCAGTTCCTTAAGCATGCCACTTGTATTCTCCAGAGGTTCTCCCAACTTTGGGCCAATAAATACCAAGGTGAAACAGTTTCTAAGAATAATTCATTGGTCTCTGGATTTATTGAGAATATGTATCACCTAGATTTGTACTATTTCAGAGGAGTTATTTCTTCAGATGTAAACATTTTCTAAGCCCCACTGAATTTGTTGGTTTGTCCTTCCTTCCTTCCTTCCTTCCTTCCTTCCTTCCTTCCTTCCTTCCT